AATGTTCTCCCATGTAAATATCACATAATTTACAATAAAACAGAAGGTGGGTGGAATGCAAATAGGAATCCCAGGGAGAAAACGGGATCACTGTTGCTTGGAGGGGATTGTAAACATTGAGATGAAACAAAGTGCATGATTTGTTGAATGGAAAACTGAGGCTCTTGTCTGTAAACCTTCACTCAATTCACAATAAAAGTCAAAACCACAATAATAAAATGCTAAAAGGAGTCCTTTGGACTAAGAACCAACAACCTGAGACTGACATACATGGTAACACCCAGAATTCAGTCCTGGTATAAAAGTATCCAAAGTTAAGCAAACCTACAAAACTGAAACTAGGGAACCAGAGATATCAATGTATAATGAAGCCAATTACAACACAAAAAGAAGGAATGGTATGGTTGCAGAACTTCCCATGATAAGGAAGACAAGTAGGTTTCAAGATAACACAGACTTTTAAACTGGGGAAGAAATTAATAAATTACAGGATAACCTCAAAGAAAATTAAAATACCTTCACAACAAATCAAGAAAAGGAGAAAACATAAAAACTTAGTAAACATTAAAACAACAGCAATGAAGAAATTGACAAGAAAATGCACAAACAAAATGAACTCACTCAACACAGAAAAGTATGTGAAACAAAGAAACCAGCAACACCACAAAAAAGCACACAATAAAATAACCTCAATCAGTTCATACATATGATAATCATATGGAACATCAATGGATTAAATCCAACAGTCAAGAAACAGTAGTAGCAGAATGCAAAAAACAACAACCAGGAATCTTCAAAATGACATGTAAAACACCTTACACACACAAAAGCAAAAATCAAAGGATGAAAAAACTGTATCAGAGTGTTGTTGTTGTTAAGTGCCATTGAGTCAGTTCTGACTCATAGCGAACCTGTATAGGGTACCAAGGAGTGACAAGTGAACTTGAACTGCCGACCTTCTAGCTCTAAGTGACTTTGTAGTCTGGTGCATTGACCCACAGTGCCACACCAGGACTCCTTACAACATACTTAATGGTAAATGACTACAAAGTTGTACCCTTAAGATTGGAATCAAGGCAAAGATGCCTCACCTGTTTCTGTTTAACATTCTACTGGAAGTTCTAACCAGTCTGATAAGGAAAATTAAAGAAGGAGGGATCCAAGTATTGCATGATCCTATAGGGTAAGCACTGGACTGCTAATTTCAAGGTACACGGTTCAAAGCCACCAGCTGCTCCTCAGAATCCCTATAAAGATTCACTATGAGTCCTTAAAGGAGCTCTGATATCGTAGTGGTTACGAATTGGGCTGCTAACCTCAAGGTCAGCAGGTTGAAACTACCAACCATTCAGCAGGTGAAACATGAGGCTTTCTGCTCCTGTAAAGATTTACAGTCTCAGAAACCCTATGCAGGGTCACTATGAGTTGGAAGCGACTCCAAGGCACACTACCACCACTACCACCACCACTACCAGGAGTCTTAATGGACTCAAAATAACAATAGACAACAGTATGAATAAAGTTGCAAGGAGTCCCCCAGATAAATATATACAGAGTCATTATGAGGCAAAACTGACTCGATGGCACTTAACAACAATCCTAGACTATGCCTAAAAATATCATTTGTGGGGCTATCAGCTACCAAGAGCAGGGGCCATTTTGAAAAACTAGCATCCCTAATGCCTAACACAGTACCTAACAAAACTGAATTCATGAATTATCTCAGTTTGTCAACAATAACTTGCCAGTCTCTTGAAATTTACATCATTTGCTAGTAGCTGTCCATCATTTTGTTACATGTGTTCTTTAAACCACCACTGTCTTCCCAACCTCCCAATGAACATGTGAGAGGAGCACTCCCTCTGATGTACATACAGAGGAAGAACTTAGACACCAGTGGGCACAGACTGAGGGCAAGCTCAGAGGTCTACCAATATCCAGGAAGACCATTCAGCATCAGGTAGCATCAGCTGCCCCCTAGGCCACCAGATAAAATAAGCAATGGTCACATTGTGGTTTCTGTTTAATCACTTACAAAACACGGCTGTTTGACAGTTTCTTTAATTCCTACAGTAGAGCTGTGGGTTAATACAATGGACTGCAAAGTCAGTTTGAACCTCAAGGTTAGCAGTTCAAGCTCACCAGCTTCTCCTCGAAAACCCTATACAGGTCACTATGGGTCAGAACCAACTCGAAAGCACTTAACAGTAATAACAAGTGGATTTTGAGGAAGTAAAAATGCATATAAGAAACACCAAGGTTACCAAATAAAATGTTCTTCCCCTGTGCAAATATCTATTTACAGTTGCAATAATATAAAAATAGTGTTGGGGAGAACAAACAAGATGGCGGATCGGG